GCGGAGACGCATCGACATCTGGCAATCATCTTGCTCGAAGAATAGGGTCTGCGTGTGGCGAGCCACGGGACAGAAACTGTTGGAATGTTTACTGTCGCATGCCGCCACAAATATTTCTCTTAAGGAGAGCTATAGAATTACTCCATACCTTTGTTAGACAAAACGTTCATCCCGTGACCGCGGCTACGTTCGGCGACTGGCTGTCGCTTCGAGCCCAAGCTCATCATTACAACTCGCGAACAATTACAATTGGATTGAATAACTACAATTGCTTAATTACAGCTATAGTAGACTCTAGATTACAATGTTGCGGGATTATCCAAAATTCCGGTGTTCTTTCATCTCCGACACATATAATTGGGTCTATCAGAAACAACCAATCAGACTCGCATTCCTTTGACTAGTCATCTTTCCTCTGCACAAAACAAGTGATTAATATTTAATTCATACCACTTATTGGAGTACTAGGTAATTCACTTTCAGTAAGACTACTTGTCATTAAGTCAAGCTGAGCAGAGATATCTAAAATTTCATCAATGTTTTTTCCTGATACTTCTTCAACATCTTCCGGTATATCTTCATTATCAAAATCATCTAAAGGTGCAATATCGCTATTGTTATTAACTGACATCAAACTAGCCATACTCTGCATATCTTCATCCCTGATTGAAAATTATAATGAATATTAAATTTAATTAACTATAAATCAAAGCTTAAAAAACATTTTCTTACGTTGCTTTTCCTTCTCTTAAGAAAACACAAGATAAAGTACATTCTAGCGCAGCACTAACAATTTTTTTTGATGTTGGCTTTAAATCCAATTTAAGCTGTTGTTGACTAGATTCTAATGTCGCATATTTTTTCATATTTATATTTGTCGCAGCTACATGTCGTCTTTTACCAGTAGAAGAAACCTAGTTGTATTATATTAATGTATTAATCCATATTTAACATAATAATATTTGCAAATGTCTGTATCTATTCTTTCTTACATCTTCGATGACAAATGTCCAATCTTTATCTTCCAATTCATGGGTCCTTGGATCTTTAAACAAAGTTACAGAAACTGTATGATTATCAGGAACTGCCCAACTAATAACACCTTTTAGTGGATCACTTAAGCTAGGTTCCCAATCTAGTGGTTCTGAACTAACTCTTCTACTACGTCTTGTCCATACAACACTTAGTTTGTTTGGCTTCCTATATAATGTTACAATATAGTTTCTGGTGTATTTATGTATGTTTATGTAATATAAAATAGTTTCTAATAATATTTGTATGCATCACATATCTTATATACAAAACAGCTAAAATATGTTATATACATAAATATGCTATAGAGGTAAAGCTATAATTAATGATAAGAGTTACATTTTATCAATTATTCTTTCACATTGTTGTTTACTATAAATATTGTCACAGAGTCATAAGTATTTATTTATTTGTAATGGATATTTAATATCTTAAACCAGTTATATTGTGTAAGTACCTATGCTTGTGTGAAATGACAGAATGTTACTCTTTTTCTGCAATGTTCTAATTTAGTATAATAATTCCTTTTCAAATTGATTTGTAAATACATGTATATACAAAGTTTTGAATAATAATATATTAATAGCATTTTATGTAATAATGAAATATTTCGTGTACGTGTTCCTTACGATATATTAAGCACAAAAAGAATCACGTACGATAAATATTGATTCGCGTTAATAATGTTGAAAAAATACATATATATCACTCACCATTTTGTTGTCGTTTCTAAACTGACTTCATGATACGACACGGTGAATTGAAATTTCGCGGCTCTCTTGTTTACCCGTTGTAATCGTTTCCAGACGGAACTCATTTTTTATTGAACTATTTTTTCAATGATCTTTACAGTATTTCCAACTTATAATGATTTACGAACGATTCGGCTATGACACATCATCTTTCGTCGAAATTATGGAAATTGAGAAATCAGTCACTCTCTCTCTTGCAAAATATACGAATCAATTTTTATTTCTTTGAAGTTATTAAAGTATTAAATTAGTAAGATACTCTAATCATTCATATATATGTGACATTTTCACTAATGTAATATGAACAGGAGCATATATTTCCTTATTCATTAATTCATGGATTTTTCAAGATATTACGCATTTCATTATTGTGTTATAGACGCAGCGTTACCTACGCACAAAACAATATATTTTGATAGCACACTAATTAACAACACTTACAACCACGAGATTAAAAACTTTCTGAATCAACTCGATCTCATACTCTGACGAAAGTTTCGTCACGAAACCTTCCAACTTATTGATCTCATACTATACGACTCTATGATAAGAAACTTGGTTATAATAAACTGAATAGATTTTGTTTAATAATAATTTTTAAATTCGCATAGTTTCAAGAGGATCGAATCGTAATCTTAATAAATTTTGTTAAATATATATAAAGTTAACAATTAGAACTGTTTTATATAAGAGACTAATTTTATTCTATTAATATTAATCTTTCTATTAATATTAAGTAAAATTAATATTAACTATATATAATAACGACATGCATTATAAATAAATAATCTAATATATAAATAACACATTAATCTAAATAATTCATACATTAATGTCGTTGTAATTGTAGAACCTAGAGGTTGTTACTAACTTCGTGTCATAATTCGACCGAAACATCCTCTCTAACCTTTATTTATTCTATGAATTTGCGCATGCTTGTTCGCTTAAAATCAAATTTAAAAATTACAATTCTGTACTTTAAATATTGACTCCCTAGTTAATAGAAAAGACAGTATTGTTTTGATAATGCTTAAGATATGTGACATTTTATTCGGGAGAGTCCACGAAATTTTTTCATCTTAATAGCAATTCAATAGTTGCTACTGTTTACTATCAAAGCACAAACATTGCATAAACAAAGCAAAAACATTTCTAGAGTTGAAAATTTGCTATTTTTTCCATTCTAAGTTTAATATTCTATAACTGTTTATTATATATTTAAAACATTTTTAACAAATAAGGATAAAAAATTACTTTTCTATAATGATGGATGAACATACTAAACCAATTTAGTTTGAATTGTTTTGAACAACAGTTGATTCGAATCAACCATTGTTACCGACGTATTTGAAATTATGCGGTTTCGAATGAAATATCTACATGTGTGTTCGACTATAGCACGATCACATAAATCTATATGATCGTAGACTATAATTTAATACTTCCAATTAGTCGACAGAATTTGGGAACCCCGTTGGTATTAAGTACGAATAGATGTTTATTAATAAGGTAACAGTTAAATGAACGTCTATACAAATTATAAATTAGAGAGGAGAAGAAAAACAATTCTATTTTTCGTTGGAACATATTTTCTTACCCTTAGCGTCAAACAAAAAAAACTCGTCGGTAACGTCGAGCGTGTACTGTGACAAGTCGACCTTATTGTCTTTCAAATAAAGAAATAATATCAGACTGACCGGGGAGATGCGAATAGAATGTAACACGCGTCATCTGATTCAATATATTTCGATAAATTACGACGAACAAAATGTATGAATTGAAAACGTAGATACCTGCATTTAGTAGTTTTATTTGATTAAAGAAAATATATCAATATATAGGGCACCTAATGGTGATACAATTTTTGATTGAAATAAAATAATATGATATGATATATATGATAAGATTGTTTACATACCTTTCAGTTTCATGAAAAAATGTAATCCCCCTTTCGTTGTACAACTTCTTCCCATTTTTCTGGTAGGGCCATTATTCCATCTTGATAAAAGTTCTCTTGTTTTTCTTTAAAATAATTTTCTAGGCTATTTTTGAGAATGTCAATATTTTCAAATTTTTTACCTACTAAAAAGTGTTGTAATGCTCTGAACAGGTGGTAATCAGATGGGGCAATGTCTGGGGAACGTGGGGGATGTGGTAAAATTTCCCAATTAAATTCAGAGAATTTTTTTGTAACGCTTTTCGCAACATGCGGTCTAGCGTTGTCGTGATGGAAGATAACCTTGTTCCTATTCACTAAACCTGGTCGTTTTTCAGCTAGCGCTTCCCTTAATTTTTCTAACTGAGTGCAATATTTATCTGAATTAATGGTATCACTTCGTGATTTTTCAACAAGATCCCGAATTTTATCTTCGTCTGTCTGAAGAGGACGCCCGGAGCGTTCCTCGTCTTCTAAACAGAAATTCCCAGCTCTAAAACGTTGGAACCACTTCCTACAGGTGCAAGATGAAAGCGCATTTTCTCCGTAAACAACACATATGTTTTTCGTGGCAATTGTTACAGAACTTCCTTTCCAAAATTCATATAACACGAGATGTCGAAAATGGATACGCATTTCACTCATGATTTTTTACTGTTAGAAGTCACTGTGTTCGCTATATTACGATCTTATACCCACGAAAATCTGCTCTAGCCTGTTCTCGATCAGCTAAGCTCAAGTGCATTGGTCCCTTATCGCCGTACGTTTGTAAATCGACACATGAAATGTATACGCAAAAGTCGGCACGAATTTATGGGATGACCTAATATTATGATAAAGAAGAAAAGGGAGGAGAAATGTCAAGAGTAAAAAGAAATAAGAAAAGGGGGAGAGAGCCAATTAGGTCCATATCTTTCCTTTACAATTTTTCTGGGAATACATTTGGCAGATTATTGTAGTTGTTGAGATTTGTAGCACGTGAATGGTCAGCTCTATTGAAATTTTTTTTTGATGAGATTTGGCAGCTTTATAGTTCGCAATACAATAGTATAATTTCTTAAATTGCAACATTTTTTGTGTGAGAATTTTTGTATCATATCGATGAGATTTTGCCGATTAAATTAAAATTAAACATGACAATTTGGAGGTATGCAGTGTTTCTTATGGTGGTAATTTAGCAGACCAGGCAAAATTAAGGTAGATTTCTACTGTTTCGCGTAGTGAGAGAGTATTAGATTTTAGATATCGACTGTCGCTATAATCCCGTGCACTGTACCGTGAAGTGGCGTCGTTGCGGGCAATCTGCGAAGCTGGTTGAGAGGCTGCCACAGATTTATGTGACATAGGCCATACGCAGCAACTAACGATGAGCGACAACGCGGTAACAGTGAGCGGCAGAGAGGGGACCAATGTTTGTCGTTCTGTCTTCTACTATTATGTTTGTTATTTTAGTAGCTATCCAAACAGCAAATAAGTAGTAATAATGAGTACGAAGAATTATTTTGATATCGAATGTTTAATAACTGAAGTGCAATGTAGGCCGATTTTATGGCAAGATAATCATAAAGATTATAAAAATAAGTCTATCACAGACCTGGTATGGGAAGATGTAGGAAAGCAGTGTAATTGTTCAGGTAAAATGTTTATTCTATTCTTATATTGTTACGTAATTAAATTAGTAACATAATTATTAATGGATACACTTGTAGATTAATAATTTCTTAACCGATTTCGACGATTCTTAAGTATATTGCGAAAATCGACGTTTTGAATAACTTTTTCTTCATAGGAAAATGTCGCACTCATTTAGTTTTCTAGATATTCGTAAAAAACTGCCAGTACTAGCGAATTGAATTCTGTCCATATGTGTGAATCTGTGACACATTTACAAATATAACCAAACGTTCACCGTTCCGTTTGCCGCTTGGCGATCTGTTTACATCTACTAGCCATTGATCTGTTTATCTTTATATCATACTTTACGAACCTAAATAAATGATTTCTATGAAAATCTCGTTTACGACTGCATATACGAGTCTTCTGACTTGCTATTCAATGCAAAGCGAATAATGCAGAATATACATTTTTAGTTGTTTTATACATTTGTTACTGCTCCTACTACTAAGGCCGACTTCAGACGAGCCGCTTGCGGCAAATCGCCTCAGCGGCAGGACAGGTTGGAACAACAAGAAAATACCTGTGTATGTATTCTTTTGTGAGACAGAAGAACTTTATTTCTCTGTTCTTTTAACGCAGCGCAACGGTGTCGTACGATAAAATGTTACTCGTCTACACCGAGCCATATGAAATAAGCAATACAGCGAACGAGCGGCAGTGCGTCGCCGCGTTAAACCGTGTATGACTTATTTCATATAACGAATTATTTCAGTGCGATTAAACCTATGTCTGTCTATGAATTTGATTTATTTTCTGCCGTCTTGTCGTCACTCCTTTGATCGTTCCTGCCACTCGCCACTTTCTGTACTATCGAGGTCAAGGGTTCTAACAGTAATCGAGTCTAAATGCAGATGGCGTTTACTGGACTCGTTTTCTAGGTAATAAACAATTGATGGTGGCGTACAAAAGGCGTGAGCTTTTTTGAGTAGCTTTGAAAAAAGGCACGTACAAAGATATCAACTGTACTGACATAAATTGTAATATTTATAGTTTTTCTTTCATTCGTATACATATATCGAATTGGGTATATAAAATGGATAGGGATATCTTCTAAATTAAGTGTTCTACTGAAGACAAATAATTGTGAAACTCACATAAGAATTCCTATAAGATATCTTAATTAATACATATAATATACATGTATATATTTTTAAATCAAATGTAAAGAAATATGAAGTGGAGAAGACGAAGGAACAAAAGATTGAAAATTGTATCTTATACTACAACATTTCGATAGCTACTAGTATCTATCGGTTCTATTCAAATAGACTGCATCTACCATCATCCGGTACAGGATTATCATTACCATTGCCTACATTTAACTTTGTTGTTACTCGAATGTAGTCTAAATCACTATCTCTGTCTCTTTCTCGGATAAAATTGTGTAATATACAAACACATTTGATGAAAATGATTGCTTTATGCAGTGAAGTTTCTATATCTTTAGCCAAAAGACAGGATATACTATAGAGAATACGCATTAGCGTTACCCGATGTACATCACAAGGACACAAAAAGACATTTTCCATAAATACTACTACTAGTATGGCATTGCCGAAACACAAGATCGCAGTTTTTTGATGGATAATAGTCAATCCGTTTTCAAAATAGTTTCCAAAATAGTTACTTTTAGGTAATATCTAACACAGAAGATTTCAAAGTCACTGCAAGGTCAAATACATAAATTTGTCCCATATGACATTGTATGTTTTCAATACGATCGTGCATACAGTTGATTGATTTATTCGAAAAACGAATGCCAAATAACGAAAGACTGATCACAATTGCTAAATACCTGTTATTGGCAAAAATAATAAATATGTAATACGATGTTCGAAAAGTAAATGCAAATTTTTGTGCTTTCAGGAGCTGTTGCAAAACTGAAATGGAAGAATTTAAAAGACAGCTATAGGAAAAACATACAGAAGCTTCCCCCTTTGAAATCTGACTCGAAAGCAACGACCCCATGTAAGGTCAAATGGCCTTATTTCGAAATGATGGGATTCATCAAGGAGTATGTAGCTCATACTCGCGGTGGAAGTAATTTGCCAGATAATTCGTTCATTAGCGATGATAATATCGAGGAACAACCTGATGAAGTTTCCAATGATAACGTCAAAGATACATATGATTTTGCAAGTACTTTGAATTGTACGCAGGAACATTCCACTTCCGCGCCTACCCAATTTTTAGATCCAGGATTTCACTCAAATTCAAAATGTTCACAAAAATCTAAATACAAATACAAAAAGCAGCGGAGAGATGTAGATATCGAATTTTTAAAGCTAGAGGAACAGCGGCTAGAGTTATTAAAAAAGGACATAAGCAACAAAAGCGAAGAAAACTCAGATCTTCAGTTTTTTAAAAGTTTACTTCCTTTTATGGAATTGTTATCTCCAATCGAAAAATTGGAAGTAAGAGGAGAGATACAGAATGTTATTATTAATAAATTACGATTTAGGCAACCAGTCTAGATGGTATACTGGTAATATCCGAAAATTCAACGTCACACATATCTATTCAGAAAAATCAACAGCAAACTCGAATATATTTTTTTTTACGTAAATTCAAACTTTAGTGTAAGAATTAGGGCAAGGATTATGATTTATATACATACAGTATCATTATCATACATCATATCATTACATACATTATCTATATTATGTATAGAAAAATCGATTTTGTAAATTCATGCTGCTTTTCTAATCTTATCAAATTTCTTTTGTCCGTACGTACGCATGTACGTACACAATTTTGAGTGAATGTAGCAGTAATAATATATTAATAGGATTTAAGTAATAATGAAACGTTTCGCGTACGGGTTCGGTATAATACATTAAGCGTAAATAATTTCACGTAAATAATTTTCCAAAAATATATATAACACAACGCTTTATTATCGTTCCTAAACTGATTTTATGATATGATACAGTGAATTGCAATTTTACGGTTCTCTTGTTTACCTGTTGCAATCGTTTCCGGACGGTTCTAATTTTTTATGAAAGTGTTTTTTTCAGACCATGTGTCCAACTTATAATTATTTACGTACGTCTTAGTCATGACACATCATTTTTCGTTGCATTTACGAGAGATTCGTATCATATTGTTGATAAATTATCGAGCGTTTTGTTAAATATTTATAACGTTGATAATTACAACTGTTTCATATAAAAGACTAATTTTATTCTACATTAGATATATCTGCATTTAAATTTAATTATATATGTACATACATGCGATATACACGCGTGTATTATAAATAAATCAGCTGATGTATAACTAATATGTAAATAATGACTCTATGCAATTGTAACTGGACAACTTTAAAGCATGTCTTACTACTAACTTATTGTCATGGATGTCACGATGCCAGGTTTCAGTTGAAACATCTCTTTAACGGGTATTTATTTTATGAGTCTTGCCTGTGATTCTTCGTTCAAATTAGAAAATTGCCGTACTATATTTTAGTGAGTGTATATAGCAATCGATGGAAATAGCTAACTAGGTCTATGTCTAACCGACTCCCGTAAGTGTAATTGTCTATGAAACGAAATGTAAAGAATGTAAATGTATTAGAAATTCATACAAAATTACCATTATTGCTACTATATGAATATCGATTGTGAAAATTGTTAAAGGAAAGCGTAATTTTAGAAAATATGATTAGGGGCATTAGGTTTGTGACATCATCGAGATAATTACCAGAAATTGATGAGAATTGTTGAATCATATGTATGATACATTACATTCTATTTCTTATATAATACGTGCAACATGTATTTATGTTAACTATTACTTTAGAAGTTCTATATAACATGAAACACAGCTTCCTTTTTAATACAAGTTCGTACACCTAGGTAGAGTAAAGTAAGGCGTTCAACGATACGAACGTAGAAATTGTTTTATATCATTATTCGTCATAAAGTGTGATTCTTCCTTGAAAGTAACGTACAAGGTTGGAAAGAATTTATTAGGAATTTTTTTTGAGTATTCTTTTTAGTATGTATTGTTATTTGTAAGATAATAATTTATTTATAACTTTGTATAAAAGATTGTTTAATTAGAATTAAATAATATTGTATATATAATAAATATATAATATATACGTTATAATATTGTATATATAATAAATATATTTCAACATATTGAAGCAATCGAAAGAATTTGTTAAATCTTCTAAACACGATAGAATATAAATAATACACTGATGGAAGAAATTCGGATTTTGTTGAACTTAATGTTTGCATTTGCGTTACAGACAATCAAGCATAATGTTATTAGCTACGTGGTTAATATCAGATATTTTGGCTATTTCAAGCGTTATAATTGCCGGATGGTACATCTATTACAAACTACATATCTTTAAATTTTGGCAGAAAAGAGGAGTATTTTATGTCGAACCTACCTTCCCTACTGGTAATATAATGCCAATTGTAATTGGCAAACGATCACAAGGTAAGATCACTGTGAATAAATATAAAGCTAATGTCAATCATTTTACTCTAAAATTCGACTCAGCAAATCGAGAAAATGCTGGTATTAACCTTTAAATTAAAAAGTCATTTTATTTGAAAGTTGTTATTAGTTGCATACAGTTGTTTACTAGAATTTTATTAATATCAAATCGTATTGGAATACAAATCGTTAAAGAAGTGTGAAAATTGACAAGACAATCACTGTGAAAATTGTTTCGTATTAGTATCGTAGTCGTATTTTACAATTAATTCTTTTGATTTCGTACAATTAAATTGTACAAAAGCTGCATATTAGTTAACTTGGATCGGTCAATAATCGAACGAGATCATATACATATCACAGACATATCTTATGCGGTATCCTATAAAAATGTCAACTACTGTTAAATGAAACAGTTAAAAAAGGCAATGTATGCTATAAACGAAATGTTATGAAAGCGTTTTCACATTACGTGCTCGAATAATACGAAACCATTATCAATATGTTAGATATAATATCCATTGCTACACGCGGCAATTCAGGCTATGTGTTTATCAGAGCATACGGTGCTCGAAGCGTTAACACGACTCCAATGCCTGCACCTTCTAAAAATTATCGGCTTTTGAGAAATGCACCGTGGCGGCATCTCATCTTCGTCTTTCACATAGACGTAATAAGATTGTTGGTAAAGAAAAGTCGTTGTTGACCCGGCAGAGTATCAAGAGTATATTTAACGACTCTGGATAGCCAATGTCTGTAAACTTTAATATAATCGATTGCAGTTTGGTAACAATCGACTGGAACACGATGTTTTCAGTGATTGTTTCCCAGTTTGTACAGTTAATACGATTTGTTGGTCTCATTTTGAAGGAGATGTGAAAAGACGTTAAAAACACGCGCGTTATTCATAATTTACGAGTAGCTACGTATATGTGTCTATCATCAAGGTTTTATTTCGTAGCCGAGTTTTTTGGAGATATTTATCATCGATATAAACAGCATCCTCTTGTTGGTATATATATGCTTCACAAACCATTTTTGATTATAAACGATCTTGATTTAATTCGAGACGTACTGGCGAAACAGTTTACGAATTTCCACGATCGTGGGTTTTTTTGTAACGAAAAAACGGATCCGCTGTCCGGACATTTATTTCAATTACCTGGAAAAAAGTGGAGAAATTTGAGAGTAAAATTGACACCAACTTTTACTGCGGGGAAACTTAAACAGATGTTTCCGATTATGAAAGACATTGGAAATACCTTAGCGACATATTTGGAAGAAAAGGCACAGACAAGATCGACGATCGACGTAAAAGACGTATTTTCGAGGTATGCGTTTCTCGCGTATCATATATCGACCGATGGTTTGACAACAAATAGACTTGATAGTAGATCACTTGTATTCGTGAACATAAACGCATGCTTGTAAATCAATACTTGCTTTTTCAGATATGCCGTCGACATTATCATGTCAGCAGCATTTGGAATAACGTGCGATAGCTTGGAGAATCCGGACAACGAATTTCGCTATTGGGGAAAGAAGATATTTGATCCGAAGCCTCTTTGGAACGCTCTTATCGTATGGGCCCCGCAGGTTTTTGATTTCTTTTCCATACCATATACCGACAAAGATGTCACAAACTTTTTTATAAACGTGTTTAAAGAAACTGTGGAATACAGAGAATCGAATAACATCGAGCGAAAAGATTTTTTGAATTTATTGATGCAGTTAATGAGAAATGGATATGTGGAAGCAGACGATAACTCGGAAGCAGCAACTCTTGCAAGTAGTTATCCTTTCGTTTAAATAACTTTTCGTATTGATAAATATTTCGATATTAAGGACAACGATAATACGAAATTATTATTTTGTCGTGGTACAAATAGAAAATAAATTGACAATGACGGAGGCTGCTGCACAAGCTTTCGTCTTCTACTTGGCTGGTTTTGAAACATCTTCGACTACAGTTACATTCTGCCTGTATGAATTAGCGATGCATCAAGATATACAGAACAAAGTACGCGAAGAAATTCAAACACAGCTGGAGAAGCACGGTGGTGATCTGACATACGATGCTGTGAACGAAATGACTTATCTCCATAAAGTGATCTCTGGTATGTATGTGACTGCACTATAACGACGAGCAACGTTAAATTTAAAACATTAAAACGTTTCTAAGGTGTTGTATAAGTGAACTGTGAACTTTTATGCAAATCTCTGTTATCGAGAATATAATAAAAAACGTAGAATCTCGATAGAAAATTGATTGAAAACCTTTATCTATCAACTAATTATAGAAAGCACCATATTTTGAAAATCTGTCGAATATTTGATTATTTTGAATTAATTTTATATTTTTATCGATTCGTTTCAGAAACATTACGGAAATATCCTCCGGTTACTGTCCTAAACCGTATCTGCACAAACGAAACGACGATGGAGGGAACAAAATTTGTCATACCTAAAGGAATTGCTGTGACAATACCCGTTTTTGGTATTCACCGAGATGCCAACATATACCCAAACCCGGATAAATTTGATCCAGAACGATTTTCCGAAGAAAATATAAAGACTAGACATCCCTATGCGTATTTACCATTTGGCGAAGGACCAAGAATATGTATTGGTAAATATATTTTTCAAAGTATTTTCTCACGTAAATATACCTACTCAATTTATGATAACGATAGAAAATTCTATCTCGTCAAATTAAAACGTAACTCGACAATGATATTTTCAATTAGTAATAAATTAAAAAATTTTGATCGTGATAAATCACTTTGTTTTTGACGAATCATGGTATTAAACAGGTTGTTTCTACATTTTAGGATTAAGATTTGGCCTTATACAAACAAAGGTTGCTGTAATAAATGCTTTGTTAAAAAATAAAATGACATTCGCACCAGACACACCAACTACTTTGGATTATGAACCGGGATCTCTTATATTAATACCAAAGGGTGGTGTACACTTGACCATCGAGCCATTAAAGTGACTGCATCGTTAAGAATATTAACAATAACGACGTATTTATGTTACACGGTTACAAGTAATTTTTACACACTTTCTACGGATTATTTTTTATAGAAAAAATTCTGCAGTCGTCGAAAAATAAAATTATACGAAATATGAGAAAAATGTCTATTTTTATGGTTTTTAAGATAAATTGTAATAATAAATCAAAAAAAGACACGAAGGAGGAAAAGTATGGAAAGTAAAATTTTAGTTTACGTTAATTCTTTATTTCTTGTTTTATACATCTCTAGATTTGGAAATAAAGTAACGGAGATTGTTATTGCCCAATATTCTTAAATCTATGTCGTGTTTTATTTCGAAAAACTTGATAACATTTATATTTTCGTACTTTTTCGAGGGGAGGGGCGGAGAAGCAGACGAAAGGAAATCAATTAGTTAGAGATTTAAAAGGACAAAGATGAAGAGGTCAGGCAGAAGATATCTGACGTTTCAACAATATTTTATTTCACAGTCTGACACATGGAACATAATATTTCGTTATTCCTGAATGAAGACGGTAACAAGTACTAGATTCGTCTAAAATGTCCAATCCGAAGGAATCTAGTATCGATAACCTTTAATATCGTAACTATCGGTAGGTAAAGCATTGGCTAGGCTAAGCAACTCCGAGCGATGAAGACCGCTTGGAGATTGAAGTGCTGGGCCAGCTTCGTGAAGCAGGCTGGACGTGCGAAGAGCGGCTTCCTGGAGCGCGGCAGCTTCGTGAAGTCCGGAGGAAAGACGGAGAGCTTCCGCTTGGTGAAGCGCAGCAGGTGAACGGAGAGCGTCAGCTTGGTGGAGCGCGCCAGGTGCGAGAAGGGCACTGGGTTCGTGAAGACCTGCATCGAGAACGGCAGGAGCACCGTGCCGAGGTGGAGGAAGTTTCGGCAGCGGAGAGGGATTGATCGGCTGGTGAGCCAAAAGCGCAGAATCAGCGGCAGCATCGGCAACGTGTGCAGCGGCAGC